AAAAATTGTGCAGTCTTTCACACACAAACTGACCATATTGCACTATATGTTCTTCTATATGTAGAAAATACTGATAATATACAGGTGATTATTTTGGTAGGAAGTGTTCATATATGAAGGATGAATTGTTTATTCCTTCTCGGATCTTGTTGGTTTAAAGGCTGATAATTCACACACAGCAGACATACAGGCTGTGAGCGTTCAGTGAATCTAAATATGAATCTGAAGAGCAGCGAGTGGGACGCCGAGACGCATGTTAGCATGTTAGCATGTCAGCATTTACCTTCCCCACGTTTGACTCATCACTCATGTCCAAACTTGAGTAACTCCTCACCGGATAATCCTCATAATGTGGAAAACATGGATATTACACAGAGTTTTCTGATATTGCACGGTGTTCTTCTACATGTAGAATTGTGCACAGCCCTCTTATTGTCTTAAATGTGGAGATTTTCTACCAGTCTTGTAAAATTGTAGAACACATGAATTCAGCACATGAACACCTTCAGACCTCGTCCTGAGTTTTCAGTCAGACTCAGTGCTTCTGCTGTGTCCAGTTTGTTAGATGCAGGATGTGCGGCGTTTGTGCTCCACTTTCGCCTCCTCTGTTGAACTACTTAAAGCTTGTTTTTCCAGTCTAATTGCATTTACAATCGGTAAAAAGCAACAGAAACTTGAAAAAGTCACGTGTTCTCGGTTAAATCGACACCCAGAGAAGACACAGAATACAGAATGGTACGTGCAGGTGTACACATGTGGGATCTACATGAGGTAATACCCAGTTATGTTAAAATAAATCAGTCATGGATGAAGCCATTAGCAGAACCAGAGGTGCTGCAGGAGGATGTGGGGAAGTCTGACTTTGCCCTCAACAGTAAGGGTGTGTGCAGCCACATGGACACTTTTAATACGAGCACCAATACTGTCTTTGTTAAAGTTATACCCGTCAGATGTTCTTAATTGTCACACTGTACATGTTCACATTTCAGACCTCATGTCTCCTTCAACCCATCACACTGCTGAACACTCTGTATGAGGACGTCATGCTGTCACTGACAGTTCTGAACACATTTGAACGTCACATTTCACATGAACACCTTCAAACCTCGTCCTGAGTTTTCAGTCAGACTCAGTCCTTCTGCTGGGTCCAGTGTTAGATGGAGGATCTCACCTGTGACTGTAGCCGCTGGAAGAATTCCTGCAAATGATCAATGAATCACTTGTGTGTCTATGAAACCCTTCAGAAACCTTCAGTCCATGTTAGAACCACCAGTGTTTGTACAACAGCAACAAGCAGCAGCCAGAATTAATTCAGTAGAACCACACACATATTTGTTTTAGCAGCAGCCTCATACTTTCATTGTAAGCCACTATGAGTCTCTGCATTCTGCCTTTTCTGCTGCAGTGCCACAGGTGGGCAGTGTTCAGTGACCACTGCACGAAAACCTTTAAAGAAAAACGTTTTGGGAATCACTGTGCACAAACTAAATATATAAGCCAACATATTAACTTGTGCATATAACTTCCAACACTGTCTGGAAATGTCTTTGTCATCTGATACATCACTGCTTATGTAATGGCCTAAATATTTAATCTAATTAGTTATCTTAAGGGCAATACCAGACAGGGAGAAATTAGGAAATGCCAATTTTCTGCCTTCATTGCCTCTAAAAATCTCAATTCTGCTCTAATTTGCATAATATTTGAAGTCAAAATCCATGCAGTATTATTGTGAACAAGCCGCTAGCATTACACAGACATGGTACCATACAGTCTGGATCACATCTGTTTAACTGCACTCACATAGATGCAGTGAGGGTAGTAAGAGAAAGGTGAAGATAAGACCAACAACCCCACCTGAGGAGTTCCACCTCAGGAAGAACCATGTTAGAAACCTTCAATATTATATAAAAAAAAAATAAAATAAAATTCTAATGCAGTGCAATGACTCCCATCTGTGCAAGGAGAGGAGAGGAGACTTATCTTCTGAGGGACTTTGTACATTCAACTTTAATTTGCACTGTGACAGCTCTACTGGAAGGTTTTCTAAATCTTTTTAATTCTCTTTTGTTTTATCTAGTATAGTAAGTTTGTGCACATGTGTATATATATATATATATTTTAAAATATTGTTTTTCTTACCTACCTCATGTCAGCTCAGAATAAGTTATGTGTGTTTAGCAATATGTTAGTTGCCATTGCAACACGTTTCTGTTGTGGGATCAATGAAGCTATCTATCTATCTATCTATCTATCTATCTATCTATCTATCTATCTATCTATCTATCTATCTATCTATCTATCTATCTATCTATGGCACACAGATTTGTGACTAAAACAAAACAGATATGTCTTTGCAGTAAGCTAGATATTTATTTGAAATAATTTAATTTTAAAAACAAAACAACACCTGGAACTATTAGGAGTAGAAAAAAATATGTTGAGGATCAAATGAGAATATTAATAATAATAATAACAAAGGTTTAATTACTTACAGCTAAAAAGGGCCTTGATACAAAATGTACTGCACTGGTATATTCTAGATTATTTTAGATAGTTAATCCTACACACCCCACGTGAAACTAAGAAAAATGAGGAGATCCCAGGGGTCACCCAGGTGTCACAGAAAACAAAATAGTGGAAACTACAGTTGTCTTCCAATATGCACACAGTGTTAGAGGAATTCATCAGAGAAAGAATGAACTCAAATGCAATGCAACTCAGACAGTCAAGCAACCTAACAGTGGCCAAAGAGCAGCAGGTGAACCTACAAAAAGAGCTGAAATAGCTTGGGCTCTCAATGCTGCATGAAAATGAAAATAATATTTTTCATATTGTAAATCTACTCACTACCTCAGGTATAAAGCACACAGGAGTGTAGGAGTGCATTCACTAATGTCATACATGATACAACTTGACAAAGGGAAGCATTCCCCACCACCAAGATTTAGCATAAAATAAAGATGCAGATATAAAATTTTCCCTTTTTACTTGCACTGTCTGATGTGTTTTGGAAATTAGAAAATGAAGAAGGAGTCCAGGAACCCTTTATCAATCTAGTTTACATGCTTACTTAACAAGTACTCAACTACACCAGGTAAGAAAAAACTGGTTACTTTCCCTTAAAACAGCATCAGCATTGTCATATGAGGAATTTAAATTTTCTATGTTAAAGCAGACACCGAATATTAAAAAATTGAGTTACACTTACTCAATTGACTAATTGAGTAAGTGTTCCAAAATCAACAAGCAGGGGTCCTCGGACCCTAATAAGAAGCAAGTGTAGCAAATCTGGGTGATTTCAAATAATGAAAAAAAAAAGAAATAGAAATATTTAAGAAGTGCAGGAATGTGCAAACTTAAATCATGTGCTGATGGGATGTAAATAGTTCAACAGTCAGACAAAGGAGGCAGAAATGCAGTGTTGAATTTTGATTGTTATCAAAGGACAAACAAGGTAACAGACTTTGTCCTCATGGTGGTCATCAGTACACTTTAACACACTAGGTGGCGGTATTCATTCCTCACGTAGGTTTGTCCTTAAAACCCACGAAGAAGAAGCAGAACGCGTTCACTTCCGTGTAAATTTATGAATGACTGCAACTTCCCCGTGTAGCCTGCTACCTCCGTCTGAGTCCGGTTGGTTGTTTGACAGCTGCTGCCACCATCAAATCGCTCTAAATGGATTATACTGCGACTCAAAGTGGGTTCAGACAGCGTAAGTTACGTACGTGACTTTATCGATCCAATCAAGCTCGCCGGTCGCATGCGCATTTTTAGGTGCTGCTAGCCTTCTGCACGTCAGACGGAGCTGAAGGGTGATGATAGCTCGCTGCTTTCAGCCGGCTGATGCTAACAACTAACGTTAAACAACTTATAACAACACAAACACTAACATTTTAAGCCCACAAGCGCCTTACATTACCCAGCACGGACGGTGTCGTTTACCAAATAAATCAGCAGTCGTAACCGTCACTGCACACTATTAATAAACACTAGCTAAGTATGCTAACAGTGCTAACTAGCTAATTTACCTAACGGTGAGCTGGCCACGGTGGCTAACGGTAATCTCGTTACGTTACTCACTCAGGGGTCTTTACATTGTGTTTATTCGATTTCTGGGTTCAGGTTTGTTTGCATGATTAATGTTAGTTAATTTAAAGCGAGCTGTCCTATGTTAAGCTACATTTAACTGCTTTAAAATGTTGACGTTAGAGTTTGTATGTTAGCCACAAACTGTAAATGTTAGCAAACAATAAAGCGTGTTTCTCGGCTTCAGTCTGGCGTTCCGCTTTGAGATTTGCTGTAGAGTTTGCAATTTTCATGAAATGGTTCGTCATACAACTTATTCAGACTCTGACCGATAAACAATTTAAGGTTTAGCAATCAGATTATAGCCACTTAATCTTATGTAACTTTACAAGTAAGAGTCGACCTATATGCTGTTTTTAGGGCCGATTATTCGTAATCAAGGAAGCAGATAGCGGATATTAAGAACTGATACAGATTTCCAGTATAAAAAAAAATGAAGGGGGCAAAATTTAGATTTAAACTCAAACTTAGTTCAATTGTATGTTTAAGAGAACCTTTCAGTATTTATCCTTCAGAGTTGACGGGCTATTTGTAGTGATGTGGACCCATGAGAAGGTGCTGAGTGGCATCACAGAGTGGAGACTAAAGTTAAAGAGAGACATCAGAGTCAAAAAATGCATAACATGATACTGATAATCAAAAAAAAAAAGCTGAATATCTGGTTTGTCAAGGTTGATTATCTGTTAATCCCTAGTTCTGAATGCCCAAGTAAAATATCCCTAATCAGTAGGGATGTTAATGAATACTTAGTTATTATATTAATCAATAAGGAAGAAGATCGTATGTGTCCAATGCATTGCACATTAGCCAAGTTAGTACCTGGTTGCGTTACCAGGTTGGGCCTCTTTCTGTTCAGTGAGATGGAAGACTGCAGCTCGTTTGCTGTGTTTAATACTGTAGCAACCTGAAGAGGCATTTACTGGGACTACGGGCACATCTGTGGAAATGTCACTGGTCAAATCTGAATTGACAAATGAGCAATTTTGTGAGGTTTAAGTTTGATTTTGATTGTCGTGGATGGGTGAGGTGGTTTACGGTGTTTGTATGGCTGAGAGGCACCATAACAGAGACTTGTGTGGCAGTTAATGTCGTGTATCCAGCGCCAATCTGTAGAGAAAGAACCCACCTTTACTATGGTGGCATTGGTGTAACTACATGGCTATAGTATATGCGATGAGTGAGAAGAGATTGTTGTAAAAGAGGACTTTATCAGCATACGAAAAATCATGTAATGTGCTTTATTTGTTGTAATGATTTCGACAACTCAATATTTTAAAGGTGCAGTGGACTGTTGGTTAAGAAAACTGTTAAATTGCATCCTCAGCATGTAATCAAGACTTTACCTGAGAAAATTCTTGAGTAATCTAGCTTTATTCCTTTAAAAATTAGTTATGTTTAAAGCAACTATGATTTTATAAGATAAATATCATGACACTAATGTTTACAGATCTTGTGTCAGGCTTTTAAGTATCTTTAAGAATCTTGTTGTGACTGTAGGTGGTATTATGTGTTATCCGCTCTACATTCTTTGCCTCGAGGGATGACAGGAAAACAAAGTCCAAAATAAAAGGCTCTGTGTTCCTTCAGGATGGTGTAATCCCATCTTGTGATAAGTGTATGATAATGTGACGATTACTCAAGCAGAAAATTGGGTTGAAGAGCTCTTTTTCCTGCAGAGAGCATTCAAACTAGGAATGTGTACACAGTTACACACAGGATTTGTTTGTTAAAATAAGTGTGCATCACTTTACAGCCCATTTAGAAGTGTGACATGGCCTGGTTGCGACAGATGTTCATCAATCTGGACTCTCACCGTCACCAACACTCCGTAGAATCGCAATATTATGTATCCCTAATGATGCCAACGCCGTTATGGTGCATTAGTTGTCATTTATAAACAGACCTCCAAGCGTGCTAATTTCAAAGTGGTTAATGACTGTAACATGCAGTCACACTTAGCTTAGACTTTAAAGATGTTAAAAGGAAAACTAATGAAAGGCAAGTGTAATTTTGCAGTATTACATGTGATGCTAATTACAAAATTTCACAAGAAATTCCAACAAGTAGTGATTGACTGTTCTTAGATGTCTATGAATCTGAATATTGCTTAAACAGGTGGGGGATGCATGCTGATTTCTTTGATTCTTTTTTAATTCTGGCTGTGTTTGCTTGCTTTACTAATTCTGGCCACTTTCTGTATCGCCCCAAATTGTCAAAGCAACTCAAGAGGCATACATATCTCCTTCCATAAACTCTCTCTTCACACAGAGCCTAACATGCGTCTAAGGAACAGCTCTGTGGACGGTTCTGATGGCAGCCAGCTGTTTGAGGATACGAGTGGGACTGGTCCTGCACCACAGCCAGGCTACAGGTGGGATCTCATGCACTCATATATGTTCATAGTAAATTAGGTGATGTATTTTTAAGTCATCGAGCTGATTTACTGTCTTGTGTCATGTTGGCAGGAACCAGCAGGCCGGCGCTCAAGCTGCAGGGTTTCCTGGTCAGTCCCTCCTGTCAGAACCAATGTCCAACCTGGCCATGGCATATGGCACCTCACTTGCAACCCAGGGGAGGGAAATGGTGGACAAGAATGTAAGAATAAATCACAGCTCTCCTTTTGAAAAATTCTGCTTAACAGAAGCGATGAGTCTCTGCTGATATATCAGTACAAAGCACAGGCAGGGATTAAATGAATGCATAAGCCATCAAATAATGCATGTGTACATGTCTTTGTGTTGCTTGTTTCAGCTCGACAGGTTCATCCCAATTTCTAAGCTGAAATACTACTTCGCTGTGGACACGGTGTACGTGGGGAAGAAGCTGGGCCTTCTAGTTTTTCCTTATATGCACGAGGTAAGTCTGCTTACACCTGCTGAATGTCAATCATTCTGTTATACTCAGCACTTTGCAGAGGTGGAGGTAACTCAATAGTTTGACAATATACATACTACACCGTGAGCCTGCTTCTAGTTCTGCCTGAAAAAGTAATCCAGGCCATACTGTATGTTTTCGGTGTTTAGACCGTATGTGTATCTATGCAGTATTTTCACATGAGCAGATGATTATTATTTTAATGCTTGGGCTCAGCAGAAGTCAGACTTTAAACTGTTTTGTATTGAAATGACAATATTCGGACCCAAAACTTTAGACAACAGGTATTTGGTAAGCGTGTAATGATGTGTGTTGTAGAACTGGGAGGTGAGCTATCAGCAGGACACTCCTGTGGCTCCACGCTTCGATGTGAATGCTCCTGATCTTTACATTCCCGCCATGGGCTTCATCACATACGTGCTGGTGGCTGGACTCGCTCTCGGCACACAGAACAGGTACACATTCGTCCATGTTTTTATCAGAGCGTTGCAAGTTTGGAGAAGATGCAGTCATCTAATGCTTTTTGACTGAGTATTCATATAGGTGCTGGTTATTAGCGTGTAGCAGATTGTCTTTCTACTTTTGCCAGCTTCATTTCACGGAAAGGTTTCCTTTCTAATAAAGCAGCAAGTCTTCAGCAGCCATAAAACAAAATCAGGAAGGATTAATTAGAGATGGAATGATTCCATGTTTTGCCAATTTTATTATAAATCAATATTAGCGGACTGCTGAAGTGTTAGAGCATTTAAATGGTCATGTGTAGTTAATCAATGACATCACTGCAGCTGTTGTGATTTACCAACTCGCGTTATTTATGGGAACGTGTGTGTGTGAGAGTCCACAGTATATAAATCTTTAGAGATTATGTCATTTTGTGCCCCCCTCAGGTTTTCTCCAGAGCTGCTGGGAGTCCAGGCCAGCTCAGCGTTGGTGTGGTTGATCATGGAAGTCCTGGCGGTCCTGCTGTCGCTCTACCTTGTCACCGTAAACACAGACCTCACCACCATAGACCTACTAGCCTTTTCTGGCTACAAATATGTTGGGTACGTACCCGTCTATGTCATAGTTTGCATCTTGTTATGCTTGTTCTGTAAATGTCATACCTAACTACCTTTGTCTCTCTTCTCTCTGGTTCTCCAGGATGATTGTAGGTGTGGTAGCAGGGCTTCTATTTGGTAGACCAGCGTATTATCTGTCCCTGCTGTGGTGTTGTGTTGCCATCTTTGTGTTTATGGTAAGTAGAAGCTTTTGTTTAGTCTTAAGAACTTCATTTATTAAGTCATTGAGGAGGCTTATACTCTCTTCTGGTCCTTTCACATATAAATTACGTCCATAGTTATACCTGTATTCTCCATAGAAGCCGCACATCCTGACAGGTTTTATAAGTCAAATGTGACTCAACTGGATTGCTTTGTTCAAGTGATGCTCTGTTGACCCCTTCTGGTGAAAATCAAGATTGTAACCTTGTTCATATCTCCATGTGTTTTGATTTTTTATTTTTTTTTTAATAAGCTGGAAGACACATCATGAGTTAAATACACAGTCAACACCATGGATAAGCATCTCCACCTTGAAACTGCAGTGTACCAATGACAGTCAACAAAAACCCTGATTCAGATTCTGGGTTCCATATGCAACAAATCTAAAGAACCACTCTTGTCAACCTGCAGGATGGGACTCTGCATCATTATTCTTCCCCAGAATTGATTTCTAATCAAACATGTATGAATTACTCCGATGTTACAACTTGCCATTGTGTAGTATAGAGCAGTTTTATAGTGTTAGGTGAGCTGGTGTGCTGGACCTGCAGTGAGCAAGGAGAGGTGCATGGGGAGAGATGCATAGATCCACAGTTTCTAAATGAACAAATGGTGTAGAGTTACATCTAAGGCATTTCGCTATAAGAAGGAATTATTTATTTATAATTAAAAAAACGTATAAACACGTAACTTTGAGGTGAGTTTTTAGGGGTTTAAAACCAGAGAGGGATTTTATGGCCTCATAAATCTTTTTTTTTGTTGTAATCATACATTTAAAGATTCCCTCCAGACCTTCCTCAAGGCAAATAAAACAATCCAAGTTGAATGCTAATTTGTGATGTTTCTCTTAAAAACACCAATTTTCTCCTGTTGAAAAAAAAAAAAGGTTCTATGAATATGCAAATATTGTTCATTACAAAAACTGCATAACACAAAATTGGAAGTTTAAAGTTTCCACATCACACTCACCTCAGCTGCGACTTGCATACTAGATAAGACGAGCGGTGATACCACAGCATTAGCTCATGTGTCTCCGTCTTAAACCCAGATTTCAAGTGAACACATTTGCAGCCTCAGGAGGAAAAATGTGAAAACAGCCTTTTAGTGTCAAACTGTGCACTTTCATTCCTCTGCTCAGTGAAGCTCAAACATCAAAGTGCAGTGACAATAAGTGTAAGAGGAGGATGTAATTGAATGAAAAATATCTTTCCTTCTATTTCATCATTAATAACTGAGAAGAGTCGAGTTCAAAGCAAGTAAAGTCAGGCAGGTGAATGGCGTGTTTGCTTTAATGATTGATTAAAACACGTCTCCTCCTCAGATCCGCACCCTGCGTCTGAAGCTGTTATCGGAGGCGGCGGCGGAGGGGAGGCTGGTGAGAGGAGCCAGAAACCAACTGAGGATGTACCTTACCATGACTATAGCAGCGGCGCAGCCCATCTTCATGTACTGGCTCACCTACCACCTCATCAGATAAAACACAGACACGCATTCACATGTGTAGAAGATGAACTTTTGCTGTCTGAATGCCATCTCACCCCCTGAAGAAAAACAAACAAAACAAACACTCCACACACATATCAAAGAAGCTGGACTTGGATGAAACACAGCGACATCACAAGACTGCCTCCATGCGCGCATGGAGCAGAACAACACAAGCGACAAGACGATTAAGAGAAGATACGAGGCGCTGCTGCCTCTTCTCTCACAGCACAGCCATGTCATTAGTATTGCCTTTTTTTGTTTGTTTGTTTTTTTGTCTTTTTTATGTAATGTCTTCAAAACTTTGTAGCAAGAGCAAGTGGCTTTAAGTTTTCTATACGGTGTAATTACTTGTTAATTATGTTTTTTAGGACTATTTATGTATGTTTGTGTATAGCAGAAGTATTATTGCAGATGTTGCTCTTGTCTGATATTTCATAAGTGATGTTTCTGAGCCAACAGAAAGAAAGCACACTAACCTCACACAAGCCGTCCACTTAATATAAAGAAACTCAAATTCAGGTTTAAAAGCGGCTCTTTTTGGATGCTTGACTAAATTTACTTTTTCTCTTGTCCTAATGTTTGCTTAATGGTTGAAAAAAGTCCGGCGCTGTGTGGAGAAAATACCCACATTAGATCTGGAAATGAGGGTTTACCTGACTGTAAGGGTGGCTGTAAAAACCACTGTTTTAATCTCTTTGTATGTGCTTTGTTACATTATATGAGCTTTGCTGCCTAAAATACTCTGGAATAGAAAGATTAACTCTAAGCGACTTTAAGGTGTAGAACCTCAACATGAAATGTCAGGTTAATTTTGATGTCATTTTAAAAAATGAGTAAATTATTTACTGCTTTTCATATTGAAAGATGAATGTCGGATGGAATAAAGAAAGGGAAACAGAAATGAGATGGGTTGTTCTGCAGAAACTTCTAGTCTTCTTGGGATACTTGAAAAAAATGATATCAGAACTTCTTTCTTGTGCTTCAACGTGCATGTGAATCTTCTAATTAAGTTACTGTGGAACATGTTTATGCTTTTCTTATGTAGCTGGTGTTAACTTTTATTTCAGACTCTAGTAGAATTCACATTAATTTATGACAGAAAATGAAACAAATTTCAGGGTTTTCTTCCTCAAATACAACTAGTTTTTATCGGTTGTTGATGAAGTGCCACTCAAACTTTTATCCAGCTGTTTTGGTAAGTACTTATATACAAAGCATTTCATCACAGACTAAATCTACATACATGTAGCAGGTAATTAAACACTTTTTAAATCATGAATTGATTCCAGCCCGAGTGTCAAAGTGCGCCATCAGCCTGCGTACTGCCTCTCACATCAAGCCAGTGGAATGAAATGATGACTGATAATAAAGTGTGACTGATGGAGCTGCTGAGACGTGAGTTGTTTTTATGTGTTTAAAATGAGCTTTGAATTGTTTTTCTCAGGTGTGATTGTTTTTTAATGACCAAGACTTTTCGCAGTTTAATTTGCAATTTTAGAAAACGACTCCCAATCAGCTAACAAAGAACAAATCATTGAACAATGCAAAGTAAATTTAAATCCAACTTCCTACACATTTCACTTCCATCCATCCATTATCTATACACAGCTTAATCCTCACTAGGGTGGGGGGGCTGGAGCCTATCTCAGCTGACTTAAGTCGAACAGACAACCAAGCACACTCACGTTCACAATTAACACTAATTAACCTCAACATGTTTTTGGACTTGTGGGAGGAAGCCAGAGAACAGCTGAACATGCTAACTCCACGCAGACAGATACCCACCAGGACGCAAACCGGCGACCTTCTTACTGCAAGGCAACAATGCTACCAACTGCACCACCTTGCATTTCACTTGACAAGGATAAAGTATGAAATAAATGAAACCAGGAAATAGTCAGGCCCTGCTGGATGTTAGTTTTAGTGTTTTTTTTATAGGTGGCTTGTGGTGTAAAGTTGCTTTACAAAACAAGATTTAAACATGTTAAGAATTCCTGAATGTTCAAACAGACAATGAACGGCAAGACGGTACTGCAGAGAAGGACTTTTATTTGGTTGGTAGATTAGATACAAATAGCAGAAAAACAACTGACTTTTTATGCATTTTAGCTTCATTCTTGTTCAATACACAAACATAAAATATTTGCAAATGATTTAAGCTTGTTTAACGAAACAGGGCACTTAATGCAAAGAAAGTCATGATGAAAAAAGATTCCTAAAGTGCGAGGCTATCACGTCAACAGGGTGGACCTTGTCTGGGGAGCAGCAATGACTTAAAACAATGGCAGAGATGAAATAATTTTTCTGATTTCTTTTTTTCCAACCCTACTTCTACATATAGGTTTTGTTCCTAAACAAAGCTTACAAACTATACGGAAACACTTGGTGTAACTTGAGTTTGCACTGCTTCATACACACAAATGACCTCGCTGCAACAAAAGAACAGAAAGCTTTATCCACAAGATTAAAAGACAGACAGGGTTGAGCTGATGACTACACTGAGTTACTGCTCAGTTTCTCTGACTACTAACCTTCACCACATGAGCTGCTGGTCTAGTTGTGTTAAGTGCCTACATTACTGAAGATCTCTCACTTCCCAATAAAATAGAGGTGTGTGTATATTTAAAAAGAAAAGAAACATTTCACTTTGCAGTTAACTAATAATAAGATGATCTGTTTTTAATGCAGCCTTCATTACTTCAGCCTCTAGAGTGTAGTTTCTTTTGGAAGCCTCTGTTGTGGTTAATAGCCTGAAGGAGTCTGGTCTGCATGGTCCGGTCCACCGGGTATCTCCGGTAGATGGGCAGCAGCAGCAGGCAGTGGCAGGTGAGCGCTTCTGGCAGATGGATTTCGGTGGCATCGGGTAACAGAGCGACTCTCATCTTGATGCTTTCCATTCCCAGGAAGGGGACGCGGTCGCAGCCTGTGAGGAACACTGGTGGCAACAAAATATTAGTGAAAGATGTTGTATAGCGTAAAATGGGTCCATCTGAAGTTAATTAACCTTTTGAACCCTGAGTAGCTTCTGGGTGTCTTTTGCTTCTGTCCCATTTTTAGTCACTGTGGGGTATTTTTTTTACTAGAATATAAAGTCCTGCCTCTCTATGGAAACAGCATTACTAAGGCTAGAAGGAATGAGAGCTCAGAACTGTCTTTTGTTCAGTTTAACAAAGTTATAATGCCATTTTTTTTGTTAAAGAAAAAAGTTGAATTTCTCTGTTTATTATCATTGTACAAAAACTGAAAAAACCTGGAATCAACATGTGCAACATTTTCCCAAGTGCCCACATGTGTTACCAACACTAGAAAAAAAAGTGACTCGATAAAACTGCAGATCTTTTATATTTTACATTTTTATTTAGTATCTATTCTTGTCCCTATCTGCTCTATGTAAACACGACCTGCAGTACAGCCAAATAGTTGGCTGGCCAGTACAAAAGTTTTAATTGATTTTACAGAAGCTGGCTTACGCAAGCAGTGTATTTTTTGGTGATTTTTAAATGAAACATGCAGAATCAAGTGATTTTGATGAAGTAGCCCTAGATGAGTAGTTCAAGGACCATCTGAAAGATCCCAAAAAAAATCTGCATTTTCAGTTACTCTGAAACTGACATAGAAACTGTGAAATTAAACTCTACAACATGATAACAACCACAAACATCTATGATACTTACGGAAGAATTTTTTCTTTTCCTCTGCTGTCAGTTTCTCAAACACCTCCCAGAAGATAATGATGTTTGGATGCGAGGCGTGGTAGTCTCCTTCATAAATCGTGTTCTGTTTGGAAACATAAAGTTGTGGCGATCTAAATTAAAGTACTGGTTAGTGTTCACTTTACAAATAAGGTGTTTAGCTGCGACCTGGATCATGGAGATGTTCATCTTGGTAATCATGAAAGATTAAATGCACATTTCTACAGCAAAACTTATCAATTTATCTATCAGCAATTCATTTGTACTTTACAATGAAAACAGATGTTGTTGTTGTTGTTTGTATCTATTTTATGCCCTTCATTTTTTAAATGTAACTTTAACAACTTTTTAATATATTTTCGCCCCTTTTGTTGTAGCACCTATTTTGACTGTATGTGTAATGTCTGCATGACTGTTTTTTTTGTTTTGTTTTAATGGATGCTTTCCTGTTTAAAGAACAGGCTGTAACAATCAAAAAAATAAATAAATAAATACTCTGACAATGGAAATAACACCAACAAAATGTCAAAACCTCTTGTGGTTTTCAGCCCACCTGCTTGAACACCTCCCAGTCATAGTTTTCTTGGCCCACCATCACCGCCTGCAGCTCCTCCGGCTGGAAGAACTCCACCACGTCGATGTCGCACACTTTGAAAAAGCCTCTCTTGAATGCTTCAAACGCTCCCTCCACTGATTTGTTGAAGGCGTAGTCGACGAAGGCATCGACAAACTCTTTCCTGTTAAGACAAAGAATTACAAATGACACGAGTAGCTCCAACTGATTTCTCCACATTTGCATTTATGTAGATGGTCCTTGTTTAATTAGGGTCCGAGCACCAAAGGGTGCGAAGACCCTATTGGAACTGCTCGGATTATTA